AAAAAAAAAAAAAAAAAGAATTAGAGGCCCTCCCGAGGCAACGTGCAGACCTGTTGAGCCTTGTCAAAGTGCTGGAATCTATTCTGAGTAATTAGCAGCTCTGTGCCTTTTAGAGGAGCTGGGATTTCTTTGGATTACAACGTGGGACATGCAGATATACGGAGAAAGGCAGGGACAAGACAGTCAGTGACTGAATGGATGAAGCGGTAGCAGCCAGGTAGAGTTCCATCCTCCTGCAATCCAGAACCAGAGTTTCTTCAGGAGGTCAGGAAGAACGCAGGACATCTTACCAAACAAACAACCATTGCCATCAAGTCGATTCCAACTCATTACGTCCGATGCAATAAATCTACAGAAGTAGATTGCCAAGTCTTCCTTCCAGGGAGTGGCTGGAGGTCTTATGGTACATCTTAAAAGTCAGAAAAGGAAACCGAGAGGAATCAATCATGTCATTCGTGCTGAGTTCCCTTTGTTCTGGGAACTGGGATATTTCATAATAGGATGGAAGTGAAGGTTAGAATGAAGCAATGGCAGTTCCTTTTCTGATGGGTGCTAGTGATCTCAGTGACAATCAGTATATTTTATTCAGGAGTAATTCTATTTTTGTCTTGGTCATGGAGTTTTAAAATAGCCTTTGACAGATGGCAAATTATGTTAGTTCCTTTAATATTTATAAAAATGTAATACTTCTAAAAGTTACTAGCATTGTCTCTGTTCATTCTTTTTGTCCACTTAGTAGAATTGAATAAAATGTGCTTGATTCTCAGTTCTACTTTCTGAAAAATGATATATAATAAATACACTGTCGTTAATTTCCACTCTTCAGATTTAAGAATATTAAAGAAAATATGCAAACGTAGAAAGCTCACTTTCTTTAATAGTATCTCATGATATGATAGGCTGAGCCAAGTCATCATTTATCTCCAATAGGAGAATTTGTTTTTTTTATTGTGATTTGGGTGAAAATTTGCAAAGCAAATTCACTTTCCATACAGCAGTTTACATATACTTTGTCTCATGACATTGACTACAATTTACCACAATGCAACAGCTCCCCTCCCACTTAACTCCCGATAGTTACCTCTTCCCTGTGTCCATCCCTCCATGCACTCTTGCTCCGTGAACAGCCCTTCTTTCTCCCATGATTGTTCTCTCCAAGGAGTGTATCTACCTCAGGTAAATGTTCAACTCATACGCCTGTCTTTGTTTGGCTGGAACTCACAGGTGTGAGTTCAGTTCCAGACCTGAAGGGCAGCTAGGGGCCATAGTCTCAGCAGTTCCACCAGACTCTGTCAGACCAGCAAACCCGGTCCCCCCCTTTTATTTTTCTCCAAATGATTTTGAGTTTTGTCCCACATTGTTCTCCCTCATTATCCAGGATCTCCTACATAGATCCCCCTCCAAGTGGTTGACAGTTGTAGCCAAGCACCATCTAGTTCTTCAGGTCTCATAGTCATAAAGGCTGCAGATCGGATGGTGTAAGTCACTAGGACTAGTTGTTTTCCAACAGGAGAATTTTTGCAAGTGATTCACAAAGGCTTATCCTTTGAGGAGGTTGCACTCTGTATATGTTCACAGCAGCATAAGCTCCAAAGTATTACATCTTGATAGTAGCAAGCATGTGGATAATATGTTAAATCCTCATGTGAACAGAAATGAGAATATCTGAAGGCTTCTTCAGATTAAGTTTTTGATTACAGAGAAAATTGTCTTCTCTTTCAGTTTGCTGTTTTACCAGTGTTCAGTGTTCTCAAACCCAGGTACATGGAAAAATCTAGTATGTGACTAAATTAACACAAGGTCATGTAGTAAATTTGGGGGTGGGGAGAGGGAAAGGGAAGCAATGTAGTAAGTTTTCATACTCACTACAAAGTTTTTCATGAGTTTCTCAAAATCTATTCAATTTATATTTTTCTGATTTTTTTTAATATAAAAATTACATATATTTTTTATATGTAAGGTTATATATATGTGTATACATATATTTTTTCTTTTTTGGTAGCATGTGGCATATACAATGATCATAAGCCTGTGTTTTCATAATGATAATACCCTTGCATAATTTATTTTGAAAGCTTATTGTTCTGTGAAATCTAAAAGCCTGAGAGCCACTTAGCATTTCTCTACTACCACAAGCAGGAGATTGAACAATTATTCAGCTATTTTAGAAGTTAATTATTCAGGCACAAAGGAAGAGTATATAGCTTGTCATAAAAACAGATCATATAGCCTAATACAAATGTTTTGTACATCTTCACTACGTTTGGAAGTAGGTAATAGAAGCACACACACAAAAAAGGAATCAGTGACTTGTGCAAAGTACGGTATACAGCATGGTGGATGTAGTATCAGCAATTACAGACAAAGTAATAAGGTGATCTTGGCAGTTGAGGGCTTTATACAGGTATTCCAGTAAAAACAACACATTTGAGAATGTGAATTTATGTCTAGGAATTTCTTTGATTTTTTTTTTTGAGCTGTAGTAGATACTTCTAGCCAAAGCTGTGCACACAAAAATCATGTCATTCACCTTACTTTCCTCAGTGTTTTTTTCTCATAAAAAATAAAATATAGCAATCTGCAGATGATTTTAAAAATGTCATGAACTTTGTAAAACTTGTTTTATATGGTTTTAAAACTCTTGGCCTCATAAACTTAGTGAATAAAAATATAAAAGCAGTTGCGTTGTTTGAAGTTGAGATATTTCTTTCCTTTTCTATAATGAGAATAGTTTGAAAACCACAGTTTTACAAAATAATGAAGCATTCTGAATATGTACACAATCCTCAGGCCTATCATTGCAGTCTAGAAAACCCCTGTTTCTGAATAAATGATTTCAGATCTGGTACGTGTAAAGTTAAGAATAAAGAGCAAACACTTCAGCATAGAAATGACACGTGCAAAGCTAAACCATTGGCTACATGTCTTTTAAAGTGAAAAATTGGGGGAGAAAAGATCATAGGTTATTCGTATGTAGATCTTAACTTCCATTCTTTGCTTTCACATTTAAGTCCTTTTTGAATAGCTAGTCCGAAGCAGACTTTCGTATTTAATACCTGAAAAGTAAAATGAATAACACACATGTTGAATCTCTAGGTTGCTTTTGTGTAAAATTGCATACAAAAACATGCCATAATTTACACAATTATGAAAATGAATTTTTTTTTTGGTAAGTTGAAGCATATATAAAATCTCAAGGTAGATTCATAAAGTAATTCTGGCATCAAAATATTTCTTTATGATCAAGAGTTACTTAGTAATGAAAATTTACCACTTATTGACCAGTCTGGGTAGATATACTTTTAAGTAGTATTGATTCACTTTACGTTCCCATATAATTCTCATCAAAGTACAAATGAATTAGCCAATCATCATAAATATTTAATATTTATGGAAAGCATTTACAAGAGTCAGCAGTAGGACTTTCCTGTTTGCTTAATAAGCATCTACCTAGGTCACTTCATATCATGCATATTAACTTATAATAATGACCCTGGTAACTCTCTACACTGCTGGTGGGACTGTAAAATGATACAACTACTATGGAAACTGGTATGGCAGTTCCTTAAAAAGTTGGAAATAGAAATACCATTTGATCCAACAATCCCATTACTGGGTATATATCCTAAAGAAGTGAGAACCAAGATACAAATATATATATGCACACCCATGTTCATTGCAGCACTATTCATAATAGCAAAGACATGGAAACAACCTAAGTGTTCATCATTGGAGGAATGGATAACTGTGCAACACTAAACAATAATGTAGAATCTGCAAAACACCACATAACGTGGATGAACTTGGAGGGCATTATGCTGAAGTAAGTCAATCACAGAAAGACAAATTTTGTATTAGTCCACTATTGTAAAAAGTCAAGGAAAGGTTTGTATATGGAAGGAAACTTTGCTTGTTGGTTACCAGGCATGGGAGGGGAGGGAAGGGAAGGAGCAGTGAGGGATAATGTCTAGATAGGCTAAAAAATATATATATAGTTACATAGGTAGATAGAAACCAAAGATTATTAGTGGTTACCAGGAGCAGAAGGGAGAGGAAAAGGGGAAGATTTTGTTAGTGAGGCATTGAGTTTATGCTCATGGTGGTGGAATATTTTGGAAAAGGACAGCAATGACATGAAAAATGATATTCATGGCACAACACGAAAAATGCCATCAGTGTCCCTGAGCTGTTAATGTGGAAGTTGTTACGTTGGTGAATGTCTTGTGTATGTTTTCACCATGATAAAAGTAAAATTTAAAAATAAAAATAGAAGTGACCCTGGTAATAATCTGTAACTTGAAAGATGAGGGGCATTTTGAATTTAAATATCATTTTTACTATACCATTTACTCCAGACAGTGACATATTTTTAGTTGGGTACATATAATAAAACAGTGTTACTTCTTTCTGCTTTCTTGAACCCCTAAAGACAGGTGTCTTATCTGTCTAACTCTACTAATCAATAAATGGACCAAATGATCAAAACCTGAGTGTGATCAATGATATTCAAGTAACTTTTTCCCACCATAAACATCTTGGAGGAATTTGCACCAGTTACATGAGTTGCTCTGGTGAAATGTTTAAAACTCCGTCAAAAATCTGTGGACAGTTAAGATCCAAAATTAAACTATATTAAATGTTTAAACAGACATAGCTTTTAAGTTTTGACAAGATGCATGTTATAGCAGTATTTGTGATCCAAAAAGCTTCTAAGTTTTTGCCTTAAAATATGTCTTATGAGAGTTGATATTTTCTCTGTTCATATGAGTGGCCAAAATATAGAAAAACTAAAAGGAAAGACATCCACAGCAATTAACCTGGAGTGCATGTGTGTGTCCATGTGCATGTACATGTGTGTACATGGCACACTGCCATAATTGATTTCCCCATCATCATTTACTGTTTACTGATTCCTGTTTTACAGATGACACAGGCTGTCCTAGTAGCCAGTCAGTATCTCCTGTGAAGACCCCCTCAGATACTGGAAACAGTCCAGTTGGTTTTTGCCCTGGAAGTGATGAAGATTTTACCAGAAAGAAATGCACAATTGGAATGGTTGGTGAGGGAAGCATCCAGCCAGCTCGATGTAAGAAGGAACCAAAGTCGGGCCTTGTAAAGCCAGGTATGTGTACTTCCTTCTTATGTTTTTTTATCAGAGCAGTGTGATTGGAGTGATTTCAAATTTGAAGCAAAACGCCAATATATCAAATCAGGGAACACTAATTCTGCTGTATCCAGTACCCCAAAATATCATACTTTGTTTTGATTGGGTTTCTTTTTTTTTTTTTTTCTTTTTAAAGGAAGTGGGAAAGAGAGTGGGATATTTTCTGTAGTGATTGTTAGTTACCATGTAAGTATGGTGACATGTGCCCATTATAAAGAGATTTAAAAAAAGCAAAGTTGAAGAAATGTAAGCTGGATTATCTAACAGATACTTAAACTATATAATTAAGTCTAGATTAAATTATACTAAAAAATTACTTGGTCTAAAAATGATCACAAGTGATGAAAATAACAGATTATCTTGATGCAGATCCATAGAGTTGGGCATACCTGCTGACACATTTTATTTGCTTTTAATGATTTCAATATGAATATGATATCACATGTATATACATATATATAAAAGTTCAATAATTACAAAAAAAGCTATGAGATGAAACGGAGATAATTATTACAATAGATAGGATGTAATGAGCATCAGAAAAGGTCATTTCTCAAAATTTGCAGTATGCATCTCAGAAATATAGATAGTAAATGAACAGATAAAATTTTAATCAAAATAAACTTTAAAGTAAAAGGACATGGGCTTTAGCATTGAGAATCAACCTCTGTTTCTTTCTTTAGGACTCTGGTAGCATAGTGCCTAAGGCACCTGACTGCTAACCAGAAGGCTGGTGGTTCAAACCCACCAGCCACTCCTCGGAAGGAAGGTTGGGCAATCTACTTTCATAGTGATACTGCCTTGGAAACCCAAGGAGGGATGGCTATGAGTCAAGGCACATAACAACAACATTTCTTTTTTTTTTTTTTTTGCAGTGTTTTCTTTACCATTCACTATTACTTATATATTTATGAGCCTGAAAAGACAGATTAATGACTTCCCTGGGTTCTCCTTCTTTGCATTTGTCTTCTGTTTTCACATTTGTCCTTTGGGTGATGACATCATTGTGCAAGGAGCTACAAATGGCTTTATTTCGAATGACACAGGTGTGTTCTGTGTCCTCGCCCATTGGATCCTAGCAGCTCCGTGGGCTTCTGTTCTTCTGGAGTAACTGATGTGCACACCGTGTTGTAATGGATTAGTCTTCATCTTGCTTTTGGTCAACCAAACAAATGTTCTTTAGTTTCAGAGCAGAACTTATACTGTGTGAAAAAGAAACCCTCTATTTCCTAATGACACTTACTATTATGTTAGTCATGATGAATATGTTAATAGTCATCACTATGGAATAATATGGAAAAGGGAGAGATACACAATGGGATAATAAAGACAACATGTAAAAGAGAAAGATGAGGATTTCAAAAAGGGAGTTGGATATCCTCAGTACTTAGGAAAAGAGGATGAGTTAAAGAATGTCATGAAATTGTAGAAAAGTAACAAAACCATTACCCTGCATACCTGTGGACTAGAATTGCCTGCTTTCCCTCCCCATTTCAGAGGTCTTTAGTTGTTGTCGAGGTCTAATTCATACAATTCACTCTTTCAGAGAGTACAGTTGAGGAGTTTTTAGTGTATTCAAGAGGTCGTGCAGCTATCACCACGGTCTAATTCCAGAACATTTTTGGAATTCCAAGAAGGAAACCTTATACCCATTAGTAGTCACTCCCCTTTTCTCCCCACTCTCCTCCTCTGCTCTGGGAACCACTAAACCACTTTCTGTCTCTGGATTTGCCCATTCTGGACATCTGATGCCAGTGGAATCAATCAAACAATGTGGCCTTTTGTACCTGGCTTCTTTCTCTTAGCTTAATGTTTCCCAGGTGTGCCGGTGTTGTAGCATAGATCAGTACTTCATTCCTTTTATGAGTGAATAATATTCCTCATGGCAGTGAGTTTGGTTTGGTTATATATATATATATATATATATATATATATATAAAAAAAATACATCTGTTCTCTGGCTGGCAGTTCAGACGCACCAGCCACTCCTCGGAAGGAAAGTTGGGCAATCTACTTCTGTAGTGATAAAGCCTCGGAAAGCCAAGGAGGGGTCACTATGAGTTGGATCTGACTCAATGGCAGTGTGTTTGTGTTTATATCTGTTCTATTATAACCACCATAGTGAGTGTGAAGTGATACCTCATATGGTTTTGATTACATTTCCCTAGTGGGTAGTGAAGGAGCTCTGGTGGCATAGTGGTTAATGCATTCGGCTGCTAATCAAAAGATCTGCAGTTTGAACCCACCACCCATTCGATGGGAAAAAGATGAGGCAATCTGCTTCCAGAAAGATTTACAGCATTGGAAACCCTAAGGTGCGGTTCTGCATAGTGTCTAAGACACTTGACTGCTAACCAGAAGGCTGGCGGTTCAAACCCACCAGCCACTCCTCGGAAGGAAGGTTGGCCAGTCAACTTCCATAGAGATACCGCCTTAGAAACCCAAGGAGAGGTCACTATGAGTAGAGTCTGACTCAGTGGCCCATAACAACACAACAACAACTGTAGGTTCACTAAGAATTGGAAATGACTTGACTGTTGTTTTGGCTTTGGTTTTGTAGCCAGTGATAATGAGCATCTTTTCATGTGCTTATTAGTCATTTGTATGTCTTTGGGGAAATGTCCTCAATTGTCTTTTTAACCTGAGAGTAATTACAAATGGGGTTTGCTTATCCAATGTATGAGATGTAAGCTTAAGAATAAGAACTTGTCATTCTCTTTTTGTATTCCCAACATGTGGGATCTAGGTGCATAGCAGGGTCTCAGTTAATATGTGTTGACTTTAACAGCAAAGGTAGGGTATGGGTTTGAGAAGATGAAATGATGCAAGAAAAAATGTCAGCTTTGTGGGTTGCAAATAAAAAGTAGATTTCCTTGTGAAGGTATTGTAGGATTCGAATGCAACCTCAGATTATTGAAATTTTGTTATTCCCCCCCCCCACCTCATTCCAAAAACATTTTAGGCAGTGGCAGTACAAGTCAACAAAAAGTAAAACAGTCGACAAGTATGGTGCAGTAAGAACAAAACTATGTTTAAATGGGAGTTAATACTATTATTGTTTTTCCTTGTTTCAAAATCATTGTAATAATATTACCTACTCAAATACAACTTTTAAAACCCTATGTATACATAAAGGATTCATACTGAGCAAGTTCCTAATCCTGCAGAAAGTATTCACTGGCTAAAGATCAGCCACTTGTCTTGCTAAGAGTGTTGGTAGCCTTGGGTCTTTATGAAGAAATTACAGACAAAAAAGGAAAGAAAAGAAAAAAATTAATCTTAATGCTGTTTTGATTCACAGATCCTTTAAAAATAGGCTTCAAAGTGGTTCATTCCGGTTCTACCCCTTTGCTGAGAATTTTCATTTCTACCCCAGACCAAAAAAACCAAACCCACAGTTATCAAGTCTGTTCTGACTCCTGTCAGCCCCATTGGGTTTCCAAGACTGTAAAGCCTTATGGAAGAAGATTGCCTCATCTTCCAGGGAGTGGCTGGTACCTTCTGAACTACTGACAGTCTGGTTAGCAACCAAATGCTTTAATCAGAATCTACGGTTTAACAAGCTCCCCGGGTGATTCTTATGTATAAATGAGAGTCGCCTGAGAATCCTGGTAAATGAAGTTCTGATCTTTATCTGGGGTGGAAATGCAAGTTATCAGCAGGGGGTCAAACTGGAATGAATCTGTCCAGAGCCCTGTTTTTGCAAATCATGGTGGCTGTGGATTCATGCTACAGAAAAATTCCCAGGTGCACAAAAATATTGCATACTATTCGGAGGTTTCATGGATCCTTTTTAGGATGCATTGATCCTGGGCTAATGACCCTTGCTCAGAGAGCTTGAAATTACTGCTTTGTCAACTGTTTCTTCTTTAATTGCTCATAAAACCCAAACCGAACCCGCTGCCATCGAGTGGATTTCGACTCCTAGTGACCCTGTCGGACAGAGTAGAACTGCCCCAGCGGGTTTCGAAGGCGGTAAATCTTTACGGAAGCAGACTGCCTCATCTTTCTCTCACTGAGAGGCTGGTGGGTTGGAATCACAGACCTTTTGGTTAGCAGCCGAGTGCTTTAACCACAGCACACTCAGCGTGAAAGCCCTTCCTTCCTCCTGAGGAGGACTGGTTCTGGAACTTCTCCAAGGCAGTAAAACCTAAGTAGTCCTTACCTGGTTGTCTCTCTTTTTTTTATATATTTGCATTCAACCAATGTTTAAGGGATCCTTAAAGTTTATTTCTTGGGAGCTCTTGTGGCGTAGTGCCTAAGGCTTATGTCTGCTAACCAGAAACCTGGCAGTTCAAACCCACCAGCCATTCTTTGGAAGGACAACTGGGCAATCTACTTCTGTAGAGATACTGCCTTGGAAACCGAAGGAGGGGTCAAGTTTATTTCTTAGTTGCCTAAAATTACTAACATCATCACTGAAAAAGTTGCTCAAGCTTTGGAATGGGACCCAGTTCTGTACAGTAATCTCTTTGTGTTTGAGAAAAATCTGCACCGTGACCTATAGTTCTCTGAACTTTCAGCAGAATAAACCTGCCAGGCTCATAAATAAGAAGAGAGGAAATCCTGGAAGCAAGACCCTGGGTGACTCCAAAATTAATAAAATGCAGAGACATCATCTGTTAAACCACAGAAGATCCTATTTTCAGGTCACAATGTTCTGCCTCCCCCACAGCCCCCGAGTGAACACCTCCCCTTCATCCAAAACTGATCTTCAGCTCATGATGCATGCTCTACTTTTTAAAATAAATCAACTCGTTAAACCAATACCAGTTTATTAAAATAGCAAGCAATTAATGGCACTTACACAGATGCTTGGAGGCTCGTCAGTATTAAATAACGTAAGGCCATTCAATTTTTGGTTCATTGTTCTAGATTTTGGAATGCTGAAGTACACCTCAGAAAGGAGTTACCTGAATGCCCCTTTAAGACAAAGAGCCCAACTTCACTGAGTATTT